AACACTAAACCCAAAAGATCTGAGTACACATTTTTCTCAAGCGCACACGGATCATTCTCTAGGATCGATCATATACTGGGGCACAAGACAAGCATCAACAGATACACCAAGATTGAAATCATACCAACCATCTTTTCTGACCATGAAGGCATCAAACTAGAAATAAACCATAAAGAGAAGGCAAGGTATTCTCCTACCTCGTGGAGATTGAAACCCACACTACTGGAAGTCCACTGGACTAACGAGGAGATAAAAGAAGAAATTAAAAAATTCTTTGAATTGAATGACAAGGAGGACACCAATTTCCTAAATGTATGGGATGCAGCAAAAGCAGTAATAAGAGGAAAATATATAGCAATAGATGCTCACATCAAGAAACAAGAAAGAACTCAAAGAAACAACCTAATCTCGAAACTCAAAGATCTAGAAAAAGAACAACAAAAAAGCCCCAAAACCAGTAGAAGAAAAGAAATAATAAAAACCAAAGCAGAAATAAATGAAATCGAAACTAAAAAAACAATCCAAAAGATCAATGAAACCAAGAGCTGGTTCTTCGAAAAAATAAATAAAATAGATAAACCCCTTGCTAGGCTCACAAGGGCAAAAAGGGAGAAAGCACAAATAAATAGGATAATAAATGAAAGAGGAGAAATCACAATGGACACAGCAGAAATCAAAAGAATTATTAATAACTACTATGAACAGTTATATGGAAACAAGTTTAACAATCTAGAGGAGATGGACAAATTCCTACAACTCTACAATCACCCAAAGCTAGATAAAGAAGAAATAGAACACCTAAACAGACCAATTACAATTAGTGAAATTGAAATGGTAATCAAAAACCTCCCCAAAAACAAAAGCCCAGGACCTGATGGATTTACAAATGAATTCTACCAAACATTCAAAGACGAATTGGTACCTATCCTTCACAAACTCTTCCAAAAAATTGAGAAGGAAGGTATAATACCTAACACGTTCTATGAAGCCAACATTACACTAATACCAAAACCGAACAAGGACAACACAAAAAAAGAAAACTATAGGCCAATCTCCCTAATGAACACTGATGCAAAAATCCTCAATAAAATTTTAGCTATCAGAATCCAACAGTGTATCCATAAGGTAATTCACCACGACCAAGTAGGATTCATTCGAGGGACACAAGGATGGTTTAACATCCGAAAATCAATCAACGTTATCCAACACATCAACAAAAAGAAATATAAAAACCATATGATAATATCAATAGATGCTGAGAAAGCTTTCGACAAAGTGCAACACCCCTTCATGATAAAAGCCCTTGAAATTCTTGGGATACAAGGAACGTACCTCAACATCATAAAGGCCGTCTATGACAAGCCAACAGCCAGTATCATTCTCAATGGTGAAAAGCTGAAAGCAATTCCATTAAGATCTGGAACAAGACAAGGATGTCCACTTTCACCACTGCTTTTCAATATAATACTGGAAGTCCTAGCCAGAGCAATAAGACAAGAGAAAGACATCCAAGGAATCCAAATAGAAAAAGAAGAAGTCAAACTATCATTCTTTGCAGATGATATGATAATATACATAGAGAACCCCAAAAACTCCACAGAAAAACTAATTCAACTCATCAATCAGTTCAGTAAAGTGGCAGGATACAAAATCAAGACGCAAAAGTCAGTAGCCTTCCTATACACAAACAATAAATCTGAAGAAGAAGAAATCAAAAAAACCATCCCTTTTATTATTGAAACAAAAAAAATCAAATATTTGGGAATAAATCTAACAAAAGAGGTAAAGGACCTATACAAAGAAAACTATAAAACACTGTTAAAAGAAATAGAAGAAGACACAAAGAAATGGAAAGACATCCCCTGCTCATGGATTGGGAGAATAAACATTATTAAAATGGCCATCCTACCAAAAGCAATCTACAGATTCAATGCTATTCCAATCAAAATTTCAATGTCATTCTTCAAAGAAATAGAACAATTATTGATGAAATTCATATGGAATCACAAAAAACCCCGAATAGCCAAAGCTCTCCTGAAAAAAAAAGAAGGGAATGGAGGCATCAGACTCCCAGACTTCAAACTCTACTACAAAGCCATAATCATCAAAAGTGCATGGTATTGGAACAAGAACAGACATACAGACCAATGGAATCGAATAGAAAATCCAGAAATAAACCCACAGATTTATGGTCAACTAATCTTTGACAAAGGAGCAAAGACTATGCATTGGAGCAAAGAAAGTTTGTTCAATAAATGGTGCTGGGAATACTGGGTCGCTACATGCAAAAGAATGAAGCTTGACCACTACCTCACACCATGCACAAAAACCAACTCAAAATGGATTAAAGAACTAGACATAAGACCTGAAACCATGAAATACATAGAAGAAAATATAGGTGAAACACTACATGACATGCACATCAAAGACATCTTTACAGACACATCACCCAAAGCAGTGATAGTGAAGGCAAAGATCAACAGCTGGGACTACATCAAATTAAAGAGCTTCTGCACAGCAAAAGAGACAATAACAAAAACAAAGAGAAACCCCACCAACTGGGAGAAAATTTTTGCACCCAACACTAATGATAAAGGACTGATCACAAAAATCTGCAAAGAGCTGATGAGACTCAACAACAACAAAGAAAATAATCCAGTCAAAAAATGGACAGAGGAACTAAAAAGAAACTTCTCTGAAGAGGAAATGCGAATGGCCAACAGGCATATGAAAAAATGTTCAACATCACTTGCAATCAGGGAAATGCAAATCAAAACTACCATGAGATACCATCTTACACCAGTGAGAATGGCACATATTAAAAAAACTAGCAACAACAAATGGCGAGGTTGTGGAGAAAAAGGAACTCTTCTGCACTGTTGGTGGGAGTGCAAACTGGTCCAACCACTATGGAGAGCTGTGTGGAGATTTCTGGACCTACTAAACATAGAGCTTCCACAGGATCCAGCAATTCCACTCCTAGGTATTTACCAAAGAACACAGAAACATCAATTCCAAAGAACACCTGCACCCTATGTTTATAGCAGCACTGTTTACAATAGCTAAGCTTTGGAAACAGCCCAAATGCCCAAAAATAGATGACTGGATCAAGAAGATGTGGTACATATATACCATGGAATATTACTCAGCATTCAAAAAAGATAAACACATGCAATTTGCAGCAACATGGATGACGCTGGAAGGGATCATGCTCAGTGAAATAAGCCAAAAAGAAAAAGAAAAATACCGGATGGTCTCACTCATAGCAGGGATCTAGAAAACTTAAATAAGGGACCAGGAAAATGAATAACTATAAGAAAGTGAAAATCAAAATCAACAAAAACTATGAACCAGAGACACTTTTTGGGGGTGGGGGGCGGGAGGGGAGGGATTGGGGTCAGAATGGGGGGATTGCAATTGTATGGGGAATATAAAAATCAAATTTATTAATTTAAAAAAAAATAAATGAATAAATTTTAAAAAATAAAATAAAAAAATGGAAATACTAGATTTTAATCAGTAAGTAGGGATAGACCAAAATACTTTACCTAGCAAGGCATTTTCATAACCTGAAATCCTACCAGCTCATCAACTGGATATTTAGCAGCCTAGAAATGAAAACTGCACTATAATCCATTTAGTTTTATATCATCTGCCTCCTGTATTTTGTTTCTTTTTCAAATATTTATTTATATTTATAAGAACTGGGGTATAGGCCAGAGGTAGGGGAGTGAGAGGATTCACAAGAGACAGAGTGAGAGAGAGAACAGGCAGATTGACTGAAATACAGTGCTGAGGGGAGCAGCGGGTGAAACAGGAGAGGTCTGCTGCGCCATGTGGGTAGCTCCCTGGCTGGGAATCGAACTCGTACTGCAGAGGCTGTGGATAGCTTCATAGTGCTGTGCCTAACCCCTTGCACCACCAGGGGGGGCCCTACCTCCTGTATTTTGTACAGACTCTCCTAGTGGAATGCACTCCACTGAGCCCTCTCCCCACTCTGGCCACCTCACTCCCCCAGGGAGGGTCCTATTTTCTGCTGCCTGTGAGAAAGGGCAGTTTGAGTATTTGAAAGGTGAAGCTTGGTAAATGTAGAAGTTGTTACTGTATACTACACAAAGACATCTGGGACCCTGAGCCAGGTCAGTCTTCACAAGGTTTTGGATTTACCTTGAAGAGAACAGGAGGATGGGTTGGAAAACTGGAATAGCTGACAAGATTAAGTAAATGGTTACTTTTTTTAAATCCAGAAAGCCTCGACTTTTGGTACAGCTTTCTTCCTGTTTGGGGAAAATTTTTGACACTTTGTTTTAAAACTTCATTGGTTTTGGAGAGATCTGCTTTGGAAATGTAATAGTAGTGATGTCTTACCTTTTTAATATTAGTGATGTCTTACTTTTTAGGCTGCTGTAAGATAGCTGTGAGCCTTCTCTCTGACTTATTTGGGCTTTGGTCTCTCTGTATGTAAAATAAGGTCACATTGATTAGGAACAGTATTTTATAACTGTTTCCATCAAAAATAAGTTCTTTTAATACATGCTTTGGAGGGTAAGGGATCTATTTTCTGACCTTATTTCAAAGTCAGAAATAAGATATGCATTAAAGTTAAAACTTTTATAGTTTTCACAACTTTTACTTTGTTAAAACTCATCAAGAGGAGAGATTTAGTGTTCAGGATTTCATTTTATTTGATGAACTCTAAGGCCAGAGTATAAAGGGTTAAGAGCATGGGTTTTGAGGTTGTTTGATTCAAATATTGACTGTGCCCTTACTTGCTATATAATGATGGGTAAGTTACTCACACAGTTAATCCCATTTGTAAAATAGGGACCCTAAAGATTATATAATGTCTGTAAACTATTTAGTAAGGTGCCTTGCTATAAGTAAGTGGTCAGTAAATGTTAGCCGTCCTAGAAGTAACATTGTGATTTCATCACTGACGTATCTTATTTGATTCTTACATTTTTCTATGATGGTGATAAAGAATTATTTCTGTTTTATAGATTAAAACAGTGGTAATATTAAGTAGTGGAGGCAAGATGTGAATGGGGATTTCTAATTCTGCATCTAATACTCTCTCCTCTTCATGGAACTGCTTTCTGTAACACATGAGGAAGTAAGTCAAACATATCTTAAGTGGGGATTTTATTTCAGGAATATTGTCTGTGTGGCAGACCTTCCTTTGCACAATTGACCTGGATTGAAGATTAAAGACATTGTTCAAAATAGATTAACAAAAGAGTTAATTAGAAGAGGTCTGAAAGACCATCTTCTAGGGTAGTCTGACCCATTTATTTTATAAATGAGGTCATTAACCCCCAGAGTTGTGAAGTATCTGACTTAAATCTGCATAATTTATAGTGATATTATTATTTTTACCTTGATGGAGGGGAAAGGGAGGTGAGACCATGAAAGAGAACAGACAGCTTTTGTGATTTTACCCTGTTTTATCTTTATTTGTATATAACTTAGTTAAAGAAGTTTTTTAGTGGGTACAGTTTAGTGTTTTCACTTGAACTGCAAAAGGAAAGAGATGAAGTTATGTTCTGAACTTTAAAGCATTAAATTAAGCCAGCCTTAATTTAAAACTTTTAATGGATGGATGCATGGATACTTCCATTTTGATGGTTATATCATAATTTATATATTTTACGTAATCTGTAATGCTGAGGGGAACTGATATTTCCATCAAGTGACCAGAAAACCATCCAATTTCTGTCCTTAAGGTATGTGGTTTGACTTTTCTCTAATGATTTGTTTCCCCCTAAAGTTCTAAATGTGATAATTGGGACCCAGTAGGTGAAGGGAATTTTTACAATTGCATATGTGTATGTAGTATTTTGATAAGGGCAATTTAAAAATCAGGTAATCAGCACTTGGCAGACTCCTGCATTCATATTAAGAATAGTCTCTTGTTTTCTCTCAGACCTTCATTAAATGAATTAGAATACATTATTAGTTGAGGGTTTGAGTTTGGTGATCTAATTGAAAAGAAACCAAAATTAAATGAACTGAAGAATGAAGAGAAGATACTAGTTATCTCAATTTTCACAACCTCTTATTTAGAGCTTTTAAATATTACTAAACTTTCCCTTAGGAATTGCCCCTCAATAAAGACTTAGGAATTTCACATAATTTCCAAAGTTTGAGGAAAAAAAATAGCAAATATAAAGTACCATCAAGGACTCTCGCCTGTCATCACCATGTCTGTTTAAGATGAACAAGTTTTCTTGATTTCATTTTTAGGCATAAACTTCACTAGCTGAAATTAAGTTTTGAATGGGAACCAATTTGATAAGACATATTAATGCTTTGAAGGGTGCAGAAAAAACACATATGTATACATAGAGCTAGAATATCAGAAAAAAAATCCATAGGTGAGCAGAATATACACACAGTTACTGAAGTTGTAGTACATGTAGTATTTGGATCGTTGTAGTACATATAGTACATGTAGCATGCTGATCTGTATTTTAATTCCTATCTCCTCTCCTAGGATGGACTGGTGGCTTCCTTATGTGTGGTAACAGTGTCCTCTGCTTCCCCACGGTATTCTTTTTAAATAACCTCTTGTGTAAATAACTTTGTATACCTGGTCCTCCGTAAATACAGGCTATTTTGGATTTAAAATGTGTAGACACAGAAAGTCCAGATAACTCATGTGACTTTAATTAGTAACTAGAAAAAAAGTAGAGAGGATGTTTGAAGGGTGAGGTGAAAAAGGAAATGTAAGGCTTTTGGCGGGCTGTGATCCAGTGACAGGAGAGAGGAGGAACCCTTAAAGATTCCATCCCTGCTGTTGATGAATGTGACCTTTGATTAGGTTCCCATAGAAATGGGAGTTGCCAGGCCTCCCCTGGTGGTGCAGGTGGTTGAGCTCAGCGCTGTGAAGCTGTCCCCCAGCCTCTGCAGCGCCAGTTTGGTCCAGGCAAACCGGCGAGGGTCCCACATGGTGGCAGACCTCTCCTATTTCGCCGGCTGCTCCCCTCAGCAGTGTATTTCGGTCGTCTGCATTTTCTGCTCCCCGCTCTGTCTCCGGTGAATCCTCTCACCCTCCTGAGTATCTGGCCTGTCCCTGGTTCTTGTATAAATAAATAAATAAATTGTTTAAATAAAAAAAATTATAAAAAAGAAATGGGAGTGGCCAACTCATGGATGAATCAGGCAAATAACAGTTAATTACTTTGCAGGCACATGGAAGTAGAGTAAGATCTTACTATTTTGATTTTCATAAATTTGGATTAAGAAAAGTAATTCACATTAAGGTAAAATAGAGGTGATCAAACTTTATTTGATATAGCTCATTGTTTAGTCATAAATCATATAAATTAATGAAATTTTAATATTAACTTCACTAATTTGATTTGTATAACATTGATAGATTTTAACTCATTGAAATTAACTTACTGAAAGTAGTCATATGTTCTTGAATATAATTAAATGATAATTCTTTTAAATGATTTTATGTTTAGGGCCTCCCCAGTGGCGCAGCGGTTGAGCGCTGGGTTGCCAAGCTGCCTGAAGCCTCCGCTGCACCAGTTCGATTCCCAGCTGCTCCCTGGCCACTGGAAGAGGGTCCTGCATGGCGCACAGACCTCTCCTGTCGCCCGCTGCTCCCCTCAGCAGTGTACTTCGTCAGTCTGCCTGCTCTGCTCCCACTCTGGCTCTGGTGAATTCTCTCACCCTCCCATGCTTCTGACTGTACCCAGTGCTTATATAAATAAATAAATAAATAAATATTGAAAAAAAAATGATTTTATGTTTAGCTAGTTTTTTCTAGCTGGTGGATATTCCTAATGGTAAGTTTCTTTACAAAAACCATCTTTTTTACTTGAGTTTTGAAGTAGTCTGTAAACAAAATGGAGGGAGATCATTATTGTCTAACACTTTGACTGGCTTTCAGGCTTAAAGAAATAATGCCAAAAATTTTCTTGGTTTATCCTAATTTTATGTTGAAAACACTACAGAAGAGTTAATCTATTGAAAGTATTTTGAGAAATTTGCTTGGGGTGTTTTGACAAGAATTTATTAACAAAACCCCATCTCATTCACATTTTTGTACCTTTTATTTCATCACATCTGCTTGGCTGAAGTCCATAGTGAATTCTTGCCTTATCATGCATGTGATCAAAATAAAAATGCTTATTGAAAATAATGAGTAGAATACATATGTGATTAGTAGCAAACAAATATACATTACTTTTTAGCTTTAATCGTGGTCTTTTGAAAGTTGATGTTTTTGAGCTACCTCATGAACAGTCAGTTTTGTTGATTTGTATCATGCTATGAGTTATGTCAGTGGCAGCAAGCCATTATATTTTCCATAATAATTTTTCAAGTATGTGTTCAACAGAGGTGAAAGAAATTGAAGGCTTATGTGCATTAAGTTGTGTTTGTGGTAAGTTATAATTTAAATATGTTTTAGTTCATTTTATTGACAAACTATGGTTCTGTTCATTTAGTTTACTCTAGAAGATCACAGGAGGTAGTTAGCTTTTAAAATAAGAATTTATATAAACTATGATATTTAACTATTATTTAGGGAGATAGGAAAAACAAGTAGGATAAAATGAAACCTAAGAGGGCAATATTTTTGACAGCTTAAAGTACCTGAAAAAAGTCTGTTTTTCAATTTTTACGGTGTTGAGACTAGCAACTATATTCTACTTTAAATGCTCAGCACATAGGAAAAAAGTCAATATTCTTTAATTCTTTCATACCATCGTTTCACCATGGACTCTTGGTGTAGATCTCATTACATTTCTATTACCAAGTCCCAGTGTTCTTTCACCTTCATAGACTTGAGTGTTTAGGTCCTTCTGCAGGTTTCTGACATTTTCCTCTCTCATTTCTTTGAATAAACTCTCAGTTTGGCCCTCATTCTCTTTTCCCCTTCTGGAATATTCATTATTGTTATGTTGCCTTACCTAATGGAAGTTCATGTAATGCTTCTTCATATTTAAAATGTCTTATTTCTTTTCTTCCACCTGGGTCCTTTGTGCATTGCTGCCTTATAGGTCACTAATCTACCCTCTGTTGTTTTATACTGCTTCTAGAGTTTTCTCTAGGCTCTTAATTCTCATGTATTAAGCTTTTTTTTTTTTAAGATTTTATTTATATACAAACACTGGGTACGGTCAGAAGCGCGGGAGAGTGAGAGAATTCACCAGAGCCAGAGTGGGGAACAGAACAGGCAGACTGATGAAACACACTGCTGAGGGGAGCAGCGGGCACGGCAGGAGAGGTCTGTCACACCATGTGGGACCCTCGCCTGGCGGCGCTGCAGAGGCTGCGGGCAGCTTCACAACCCAGTGCTCAACCGCAGTGCCACCTGGGAGGCCCCGGTTGTTTCCATGTTATGGCAGTGGTAAATAAGGTTACTATGAACACTGATATACAAATTTTACTTTAGGTGCTTGCCTTCTTAATCTCTTGAATATATACCTGTAAGTAGAATTGGTGAATCATGAGGTAATGCTGTGTTTAATTTTTAGAGAACCCATCATACTCTTCAAGTTAATGATTTCATATTCTTTGGGTAGATACCGATGATGGAGCATAGGATACTTCTATTTTTAGTTTTATGAGGAAGCTCAATAGTGTTTTCCAAAATTATTACACAAATTTACATCCAACATTTGTTGTTATTAGTCTTTTTCATGTTAGCCATTCTCACAGGTGTCAGATATTTCATTGTAGTTTTGATTTGTATTTCTCTAATAATAAATGATGACGCACTTTTTTTTTTTTATATAGACTGTGTCTTCTTTGAAGAAGTGTCTTACCAGATCTCATTTTTTTTTTAAGATTTATTTATTTATGTATACAAGAGCTGGGTACAGGCCAGAGATGGGGCGGGGGGGTGAGAGGATTCACCAGAGACAGAGTGGGGAGCAGAACAGGCAGATGTACTGAAAAACACTGCTGAGGGGTGCAGCGGGTGAGTCAGGAGAGGTCTGCTTCGCCATGTGGGTTGCTGCCTGGCCAGCCAGGGATCGAACTCGTGCTGCAGAGGCTGCGGATTGCTTCATAGTGCAGTGCTTAACCCCTTGCGCCACCAGGGAGGCCCTAGATCTGCTCATTTTTAAATTGTTTTGCCCTTTCACATTTTTAATGGACTCTTTTAATGAACTGGTATTCTTAATTTTGATATAGTCTAGTCTGTGTATTCTTTCCCTTTATTATTGGCACATTTTTTGTACTATTTTAAAAATCTTTACCTAAAGTCGTGAAGATGTTTGCCAACATTTATTCCTAAAAGCTTAATTATTATAACTTTTTCATTTATTTATCAATAAATTTTGTAGTGATTTACCATATGGTGTATAATACCATATAAGGGTTTGGGAGTAAAGATTCACAGTTTGATGACTGTGTATATGATGCAATGTATATAATGGTACTGCTCACCTTGATCAAATTCACATTCTTTCCAGCCCTCCCAATCTCCTTCCTCTTCTGTGGTAACTGATGTATTTCTCTCAGAGTCTGAGAGTAATGTTTGTTGTGTTTTGTAAGTTTGTTTGCTTTTTAAAATTTATATGACATATAAGTGAGACCATCAGTTATTATCATTTACTTTCTTGTTTATTTTGTTTACCATAATAAACTCAAGTTCCATCCATATTGTGAATCGCAAGATTTCATCTTTTTAAATGATGTAAATGATGTTGAGAATCCTAGACAGCCACATGCAAAAAAATAAAACTAGGTCATTATTTAATACCATACACAAAAATTAGCTCAAAATAGATTAAGGATTTGGATATAAGACCTGAAACTGTAAAATACATACATACTCCTGGACATTGAGCTTAGAAGTGTATTTGACTCTATCAAATGGGGGAATTGACACTGTCAGCAATCGGAATGCACACAAAAATAAACAAGTGCAACTGCATCAAACTAAAAGGCTCTTGACAGTGTGAGAAAACACAAAAGCAAAATGGCAACCCAGTGACTGGGAGAAATATCTGTGCAGCATACATCCAACAAAGGATTATTTCTCATTATGTCTGTTTCTGAATTGTCTGATCTATTCTAGTGGTGCCTATTAGTGTTGCTCTCACATTTTATACTATAATTGTATAATGCCTTGTTACCTGGTAGTGCAGACCATCTATATTTGACTAGTAATTTTTATTGAATAGTATATATTATGTATAAAATGTTAGAGGCTATAAATGTTACAAATTGAAATTATTTACCTCTAGAGAAGGTTTACTCTTTACAAGTTAAGTAAATTGGCAGTTGATCACTTCAATGTAGCTGATTTGAAGTTGGGTTGCAGCTTCCATAATTCTCAATCTGTTTCTGGTAAGTCCCTGTTCATTGGGCATATCCTTCTAGGATTTTAATTGAAATTTTAACTGTTCCTCTCCTCTTCTTGCTCAGGTTTCAATTCTGATCTTTGTCATCACAATACAGTAAGACTTTAGGAAACTATGTTGCTCTTAGATGTTTATTGCTTAGCTTTTACACATTTTACCTTGCTATTTATCAGAGTAAAGCTGGTTATGTGTTTGAGGGCCTTCATGTCGATTTTGATC